ACAGGTCTCATATGCCGCACACATCCCATAGTTATCACAGTCATCTGTTGGAAGTTGACTGTACACTACCCAAGTTCTAGCTTCTTCATTCCATATGGTGCGCTGCAGCCTACTGGAAGTTTGGTTCAAAACAATTGTTGTGATTATTGATTCGATTTTGAGGGTATAGATGATGTATATCTCCTCTTCATTTATGGTGACATTGAACGTAAAGTAGAGATTTGGCTCCGGTAGGCGTAAACCAGTCGCTCCAATGCCATCCCAGCCGCCTGCACGGAAATACTTGTTTGAGCCTTTCCACATAACAAGGTCGGGATAATTATATCGCTCTATCCCAAGAGTTAAGTCTCCAGGACATGGATCATCTGAGGACTTCCACGCTGATAGTCGTCGATTAAGATCAGTCCTTAAGTCCCATCCAAGTTTCATCCCTGGCAGCCAAGAATTAGTGGGATAGTCAAAGCTTTGCCACAAAAGTGTTTCTGTTTTACCAGCAATTCTATCCTTTAAAACAAGATTTCCAGAATCCGAGAGCTGCAAAACTGGGTTTTGAGCACCATTCCTTGAGTTTGGTGCCCAAACAACACTCCCGCTTTGACTGAGGAGTACCAGATTGCCTGTGCTGTTTATCATCAAAACACCAGACGTGTCATTAATCGGGTCGCACCTATTTGCAACCCAAACGACTGTTTGAACTGAGATTTTCTTTAACCAAATTCCCAAGTAACGGCTCTTGGTGGAGCTTCCAGAACTGAAAAAGCCCAGTTCAAAGCTTCCATCATTAGAAACTAAGGTCGCACCATCACTTAGATTGGTGGATGAGATCATGATATCAGTTCCACATGAGAGTGTAGAGAAGAAAAACAGTAAGAGGATGATGATAACAAACATAAAAAATCTAATGTCCATTGTTTAGTTGTTCTGAAGGTTTTCAAAAATAAAAAAATAAAGGCAAATTAAAGGGGTTTTTAATTAAGGTATCAAAGCTCAATTAAAATAATATCTTTCATTGATTTAGTGACTCTTTTAATTATGGGTTTTTACTTTTTATTGAAACTAAGATACCCTCATTTACACACCAAGTTTTATGGATAAGTTGGTAAGTGTACCCAATACTTTGACAACAATTAAGATTCGAACCATAACACTACTATATTACAATTTCTCATCTCCTACCCTAAATTGTACCTGTTAAAAAAAAAAAATTACCCTCATTTACTTCTATTGTAAAGACTTTTTTCTCTCTCTTCGTACTCCGTTTGCCTTCTTTGCTCTTCTATTTCCCACTTTAAAATCATCTTACATAACCCTGGTTTTTTCCTCTCCAACTTCCCCTCTGTTTCCCAATTGAAATCAATCTCTTACAATAATAAATCAAAGGGAACAATGAAAGATTGAAGAACATGCTAGTCTTGTTACTATAAATTTTAGTCCTATTATTATACATTTTCATTTTGTTTGTAGGAATATGCTAATCCTATCATTTTCTGTCATATAAATGCTAGTCTTGAAATTAGTTGTGATTGATTGTTACTCCTATATATCTATTTTTCTCTAACGTTCAACCGTATAGATTTTCATAGATTTTCATTTATTGAAAGAATCATATATTGTCAACATCTCAGTGAAGAACATCAGAATGAAACCAGTAAAATATTTCGTCCATTTCCTTTCACCCTTGTATTCTAGGCTTCCTTTACAAAGGAAGAGGTTTTAATAGCAATAGCTTGTTCTAAGTGGCGGTGGAAAATGGAAGAACAAAATGGTGTGTTAAAAAGTTGATTCTGAAGTAGGGGGGATTAGAAGAGAGAGGAAAATACAATTTTCTAAACTAATTTTGAAGCAGAGAATAGCAGAGTGAAGAATGCAAACGGAGATGGAAAGAGAGGAAAATAGTATTTTTAGTCGAAATAAATGAGGGCAATCTCAATAAAAAGCAAAAAGCTTATAATTAAAAAAACTGCTAAATAATTCGTTCTACATGAAATTAATGTTAAAAATAAAGTTTGTTTTTACAATTTTTTTACACAAATTAATAATAAAAAATAAAAAATAATAAAATAATAATAACAATAATTAAAGTAGTATTTTTCATTGATTTTGTGACTCTTTTAATTATGGGTTTTCTATTATTTTTATTCAAATTAAGATACCCTCATTTAGGCACCAACCTCATAGATCACTTGATAAGTATATTTAATATCTTGACAATAATCAAAATTTGAACTATGGTTCTGTAGACTATAATTTACCATCTCCTATTCTAAATTGTACCTTTAAAAATGATTAAATGTCAATTTTAGTCCTTCAACTTTAAAATTTTACATAATTTTTGCCCCTCAACTTTTTGCACACTTTTTTAGTCCCTCAACTATGAAAAATATATTTTTTTAATCTTTTCATCAATTAGTCTATTAAATTTATTTAAATATGCACATTTTTAATTCCTTAACTTAAAGTTGAAAGATGAAAAATATACATATATTAGAAGTGAGAGACTAAAAATGTAGATATTTAAATAAATTTAATAGATTAACTAACAAAATAACAAAAAAAGTGTATTTTTTATAGTCAAGGAACAAAAAAAAGTACATAAAAAAGTTAAATGATGAAAATTATACAAAATCTTAAAGTTGAGGGACCAAAATTGAAATTTAACCTTCAAAAAAAAAAAAAATACCCTCATTTACTTGCACTGTAAGGACTTTTTCCTCTCTCCCTTCCTTCTCCGTTTGCCTTTTTTGCTCTTCTATTTCCCACTTTAAAATCATCTTACATAATCCTATTTTCATCTCTCCAACTTCCCCACTGTTTCCCAATTGAAATCACTCTCTT